TTTGGAGAAAAGTTGGAAAGATCAGGAAGTTGCTTGTTTTGCATGTGGAAGGATGGGACACAAGGCGAGACAGTGTCACTTTTCACACAAAAGAATGGGCTATCGAGATAGGCCGTTTAGAAACCTAGTTGGCACTGTTGAAAGGAAACAAAGGAAGAAGCCATTCACACCTTGCCAGACACAGCACTGCATGAACAATATGACTAGTTCAGTCATAAGCAGATGCTGATGTGAATTAGAGGAATTGTTTTATGATAGTTGCATATTTTAGAAAAAAATATGCTTACTATCAAAAGTAATTTCTGAGAAATGTGCTAATGGCATTAGCATTTAAATTTAATTTATGAGAAATTATTTAATTGCATTCTGTGATTACATTTCTGTAGCTTTGATGTTTTTAATGTGAGAAGACTCTAGTGGGGGAAAGTGGGGAGCAACCTCTTCTTTTTGTCCTTGTTTCAGATATCAGCGCTGAGATGTTTGTCTGAAATGTGTAACCTCCTGGAGAAAGATGATCCGGTCGTTTGAAGAACCAGAAGGCCAGCGAAACCAGTGGAGCCAGGGGGATTTTCTCAAGAAAAAGAACTGAGTGATCCATGACCTAGAAATCCAGAAATTTCCAGACTTGCAAGATCCAGATCTCCAGTCCTAAAAGACCTAGAAACTCGGAGACCCACAATGGGATGGATGGAATGGCAGACTGCAACAACACCAGTGACTACTTCTTCTAGAAGGACTTTTTCAAATAGAAAAGAATGAACAACGGAAAAGAGAAACGAGAGATCAAACCATTTCAGAGACTATGGACAGCAGTCTTTTCACCAAGATGGAAAACAAGAGGGCAAAGGACATACCCACACTAAGAAATGCACAAAGACACAGACTCACTGCACATGACACCAGAAAGAGACAAATATATGCATACTCGAATGCAGAACATTGTCTACTGAATGCACACAGGTGGATAAAGGATGTTCACACTGAGAAAACGGACACAATGCATGTGACAAAATTAAAACACAATACTTGCGTGCACACACACACACACACTTTATGTTGCCTATTGAATGATGTTTTTGCAGGTGTAATCTGTGTAATGCGAGTGTGATGCTTCTTTTGAACCAAGAGCATCAAAGGGGGGACTGTAAGAAACTAGTCTGCCCCAACCCAGATTCTACTCCATAATAGATGTTTGATCATGCTCATTTCCCAGAATGGCTTAATTATTATAGAGAAGATGAAAGTCCACGGTTATGTTGTTTCTAGATCATTTGGGATGCACACATCCTGAGCAAATGGTGACCAATTGTAGAATGGGAATTGGTGTGGGACACCGAGAACCATCTCAGGCAATGGGGTGTCAGAACTTCATTAGCATACAGATCTGTTATGATAGGAGCAACTTCTTTTACATTAAGGATAGTAAACTGTAACTGTATAAAAGGTTTGAGTTTAGGATGTTCGTGGTTCATTCCGACTCCATTGAAGCCAAGGTACTAAATGCACATTGTCACTGCTATGCTGCAATAAACATCTTCATCAAGATCTTCAATGTCCTGATCATTTTATCTTACAGTGCTTATAGTATTAAAATAATTTGAAACTTTGCAAACTGGCAGCTCCAGTAGTAAAAGATTTATCTTGAACTCTGTCATGGAAACTAGCATGTACCAAGCTTAATTAAACTATTTAATAATCAATTAAAAAGAAATCTATACCTGTATGATATTACGCTGTACCCACATTGGACGAGTGGTTTGGAAAGTGGATGGATTATATAGCCGCAGGCGCCATCTTCTGACAAAAGGCAGGAATTCATTCAGCATGACCCTCAAAGTGTATTATGGGTATTCTCTAGCCGTTGAGTGTACATCAGTTGTACACTCATTATTGCATTCCATTATGGGATTCATCGAGTGCACTCGACAACCACTACACATGGCTGTACCCTCAAATAGTGCCCTATTTAAGGGTATAGGAGGCAATTTCGACACAGTCCTCGCCTAGTTCTTATTCTGTTAAATGCCCACATTATTCATATACTCTCCCCTATTTATTGTGCTTGATCCTTTCCTCTGATTTTTGTCGAATTGTATTTTATCATGCACCAGAGTGGTTTGTGCCTTATACAATTTGCTTTAGCTCTCTTGAGCTAAGCTTTCCCAAGGCTTGTCCTGTCCTGATTCTGTTTTGCCTGAGTTTTCTACCCTGACTTCCCTTATCAAAGATCTGCTCTACCTGCCGTCTGGACTCTCTGCAGGCCTCTGAGCTCTTCCATCTCTCTCAAGCCCTTTGGTTCTGGTTGCCAGTTTCAGATCTCTCGATACTGATCTGCCTTCTGGCCCTAATCTTGACCCTGTTTTTTCTCTTCTGCTCTGTCTGCTCTTCTTGAACTGCCTTTCCCTTGTCGGATGAAGTTTGCCCCAGAACTCAGAGGCTATGTTACTATGTTAGCCACGAGGAATGTTACACAGCAAAAACCCCAGTGTTAAATTAACGGTCTTCAGAGTTTATTTGAGTCCACACTCAAGAGAGTTAGAATTAACACTGAAGCAGTGATAAAGTTAATTAGATAATTTAGTGAGCAGTTGGATGATGATTGATGTTAGTGAAGACACCTGATGTTCACAAACAGAATCTCTGAAGGAAAGAGTCAACATTTTAAAGTTACCATTATGGTGATCAGTGTTTAGTGGGATATTGACCCTTGAAGTTTTAACATTACATTTTGTCAGGCTGCTGTAACCACGTTATAGCAGCCAGACGAGCCAAGAGAAAAACGTGATCAGGTGATGTTGGTTATGTTATGACATCATCGTGTTGTGACCTGAATCACCGATCTCACTTTGCGACAGATTTTTGAGTTAGATTTACCTTATTGAATACAGTAGCCCTGGGATTCTACAGCATAAGAACTGGTATTTTCAATATATTCAGAGGGATTTCTAAAATCTGTTCTGATAAAAAAAAAAAACTACTCTATCATTTAGACACATACAGACATCAAGAATGAGATTATGAATCTCAACAGTTGTGACCATCAAAAAGCATGACATTCAACATGAGCATTACATTCTGGGTGCCACCAATCAAAATTCATTCATGGCTCCCAGCATGCATTGTGGCATGAATACATCAGCTGCATTGTCTTTGTAATTTCTTTCATTCTTACTATTTTTTATGTTACTTTTTAGTAGCTTATTTGGTGATGTTCAGAGTTTATCTGTTTTTCTGAATTAGCTGTCTGTAATAATTGCTGAGATTAATACACTGATTCTTGATGTGTGTGTCTAAAAATTAAGCAGTTCAAATATATTTTGTGCAAAATCTATGGAACATCACAGGGCTGCTGTAATCAATAATGTACACTACATGGTGATTGGCACTATCAAAACATAACCAACACCTGAAGACATTTTCATTTCATGTTAAAATTGTTTTTGCCATAAAAAATGGTTTTATAACAGTTAAAGCAGCCAGAAAAAAAATAAAAATGGGTTAAGAGCCCAGCTAAAACAAGCACTTGACGTGCATAGTGGTGACCTAAAAATGTTGACTCTTTTCTTAAGTGATTCTGCTTGATAACATCAGGGGTCTTCAATAATGGTCAATCATCACTCAATTAATCACTTAATTATCTCATAAACTTTAAAGTGCCCCTATTATACCTTTTCGAATATTACCTTTCATGCACTGTGTCATGTAGCTGTATGTGAACATAAACTATCTGCAAATTTGTGAAGCCGACAGTGCATGATAAATAAAGTTATTGTCTATCAAATAAAGAGTCGGCTCGCAATAGCCTAAACGAGTCATCATGTATTCTAATCTTATTCTGTTATGGCTGTAAATCACGAAGTAACACATTTGCGTAATGTCCACCCACATTCTACGTCGCCAACTTGCCTGCCCACAAACACAGTAAAATTTCCGCGTGGTTAACATCATGTCCAAAAGACGCTGTATCCTACGCTGTAAAAGTAAATTTGTTTTATCACAGCTTATAATTACCACAAGCTTGTTAACACTTGCCACTGAGAAACATCCTGCTCCAGTCGTGCTTGCGAATCAGTCTCTTGTTGATCAGCCAGTTCAACTGTTTCATCATCAGACTCCGGCTCGAATTGGTAAGGTACAATCGATACCATCTTTTCTATGTAATGACAAGTCTCCAGGGCTGTCATTCCGTCATGGCAACGGGCATTTTGTTTCTGTCATGCGCTGTACGTGCTAGACCAATCACAAAGGACTGCACCATTTGACCAATCGCAACAGTGAGGGCTCACGGAAAGGAGGGGTTTAGAGAGACTGATTCTTTGAACTGCTTCGCACAAGTCGTTTACGAATCATTTAGAAATTAGGTAAAATTAAATCTATTTTTTGAGAAAACTAACGTGTTTTTTAACCTTGCATACATGTAAACCTGTTTTAGGAGACTCATAAAACAATATTAGCAACCTTAAAAATGGCATAATAGGGGCACTTTAACACCGCTTCCGTGTTACTTTTAACACTCTTGAGTGTGTACTCAAATAAACTCTGGAGAGAGTTAATTTAACACTGGGGTTTTTGCCGTGTACATATCACTATAATATTATTTATTATTAGTGTGTACAGTATTCTAGTTGGCACATTTTCCTTCTGAAATCCAAACAATGCTCTCTCAGAAAAGAACATTGCTGGTACTGCTCTTCACTGGTCCTTTCTCACTTGCAGACTCTTCAAGGTTGGGGCAGAGGCTGTCTATCACATAAGCTAACCACTGGGGTGTCTCGGGGAGTGCAAAACTTCTTATGGAAAAAATTACTGGGTGCTTACTTACTGGCTAAAGTCAAGAGTCCAAATCTCTAAGAAAAACTCAAATATGTAATTTTGCCATTTAGTGATTATGACTGATTCAAGCAATTGGATAAAAGAAAATGAGGTACACTAAACTCTTTCTTAAAAACCTTCAATCTGGTGTTTTCAGAAAAAAACAGAAGAAGAAAAAAACGGCAACAACAAATAAATAGCTCTGGTGCATTTTAAAAAAAGTAGCTGATCTGCTTAAGACACTGATCAAGAAAGTAAATAAAAACCAAAATGCACGATTAAAAAAAAAAGACATTCAACAAAACCACATGGCAACTGCTATAATGTGTGTACAGTAAACTATTTTATGCATGTACTATAGTCTATCACTTCACTTAATTCATTCTGTTACATTCATTACATGGTACGTACAGTACTGTCGTGAAACCACTAATGGTCACGGTTGAAAATGGCAATGAGGCTCTGATAAGTCTCTTAAAATAAAGGTTCAACATGTACTAAATCCTTTAGTCTCTATAACCACAACCACATTTTAGGCAATGGCTGCCAATAGCCAGTTGACATTATTTAAACGTCATTCAACTATTTCAACATAAAGACACATTAATGTCCACATCTAGATGTACATCATCTAGAAGAAGGAATTTACCAGTCCTTGGCATGGATTTACCTTCAGACAAATCCCTCTGACACTAAATGAATTCAAGTCCCTCATACTTCACGTCCCCAATCTTGGTTTCAGGAAGCAGGATTCTGCCGTCTAGGGTGAACGCCACAATGTAAGTGGCGATTTTCCCAGCATCCTCCTCAGACTTTAGGGCAACAATAATCTGATCATCTGTGTTGGGGACAAACTTGAATGACGAAAAGCCATGCGTAGGGTTCAGGGGCCCAACATTTCTCACTTTAATGTCCTGGAAGTCTGGGGAGCAGCTGAGCATTAGATTGGTGCCCCGTCGCTCATCTGCTGTCTCATCGTATTGCTCGCTGCTAGCACGTCGTGGCAGGAAGATCCAGCGCTGCAATGTGTCGCTCCAAGCTGCAGACTCATGTATGAGGTACCCTGAGATGACAATAGAAAGGAAATGAACAGGGAATGGGAATGAAGCATCCATTTCAGTGATGCTAGCGATTGAACATGGAAACATGGAACTTGGAAAATAAAGTATTCCTGGGTGTTAAGACTACAAGAGCTCTTGACACTCTTAAAAGACACAAATGTTCTTGTGATATCAATGTCACTTTTAAAATACCAAATTCACTGCTCACTCCCGTTTCACTACAAATACACGCTGCATGTGAGCGAAAGGCTGCTGTTTACCGGGCAGACTGATGCCTGCAGCACTGCGGAGAGCATCGTACTTAGGGACCCAGTTCTGGTGCTGTACATCTCCGTTGAATCCCACCACTTTTACCCACTCAGGATTGTCATTCAGCACTTCTCCATTGGTGGTGGTCCACTCCTTCCCCAAACCCCCCACATATAAGTGCTCATCCTTCACTGCAAGCCACTCAGCCTTAAACCCTAGAGAACGAAGAAAATAACCACAGAAATAATCACAGAAATAACCACAACTGAATCAAACATCATGTGTGAATTAATTGCTTTGAATTTCATTCATTATTATATCTTTATTTTAATAGTTTTTGACTGTTACCTTAAATTCAACTCGTAATGTGTGTGTGTGCATTAACTTGGATGGGTTAAATGCAGAGGACAGATTCTGAGTATAGGTTACCATACTTGCCCTTCACATCACTTTGAAAACAGCTGTGCTTAATTTAATTGCAAAAAGGGTACAATAGCAACACTAACCTTTTGAAACCGAGCCATCCCCATCTGGCAGTATGACCCAGGGCACTGCCTTGAGTCCATCTATGTTATATACAACACCCGTACGATCATCAACGCTGTACAGCTTGCCATTAAACACCACTAATTCGGAGAGCTCCATGCCGCGACCCTTCTCTGCCAGGTGACTTTCCAAGACCACCCTGTCCTCATCCCATTCGACCGCCACTGTATCTCCACTCTCCGACACCAGGAGGTGACCCTTCAGCATGTAGCTAAACCAGGTCAGCTTCTTATCACTGAGTGAGTTCGTGTCCAGGTCAGCGATGACCCCTATACGGTAGCGTGTGCCCTGTTCCGTGCGCTCTGGTGGACTTAGGGGGTATGTGTCATTGTAATGGCCCTCCGTTCTCACCTCCTGATGGTTTAACCTCAAACCAAATTTGCTTCTGGTTTGGGGGTGAAAGGGCAAAAGCTGCATGTAGATGAAGAGGACGAGGGTTAGTGCTGACGCTATCACCACAATGGCTTTCCATTTGATGTGGAAGCGGGGGTCGGTAGTGTTGGTCATGGAAGCCAGCATCGGGAGCCCTCCAACAGAGATGCGCAGAGAGTTCATAGGCTCATTTTGGTTAAGATGTGCATAGCCTGGAGAAACAGGCATTAGGGAGGGACAGCAGCCACACCTACACAGGGAAAATATTTAGGTCATGACACGTTTACATTTATTCATTTAGCAGATGGTTTTATCCAAAGTGATTCATCATAAAAAATTGTTAGCATTTATAGAAATGTTACATGGCTTATGAGTGAGCAGGAAAGGAAGTGAATAAACTGTCAATCACTGGAATCAGCACAACCTGTTTATCCTGTTTATTCTAATTGTACCCTATTTGCATGGGTTTCTCTTTCTTTACCTCATCAACACAACCTTTTTTACTCTTATGAGAGACACTGGATCTGCCTAAACAGGTCCTGGAATACAGACAGTTAAAATCAAAGAGGTCCCACAAATGAAGCTACAATACAGCTGACAATACAGTCAGTTGGCAACCCCCAGTGTTAAATTCATTGTATTTGTGACGACTGATTACACATCCATATGAACTTCTCCGCTCTGGCTAAACTCTGTGCCTTTTTTATCTGTGCAATTTTATGTTCTTCAAATATGGAACAGTTCTCCAATCTACCATTGGTCAGACAAACCGAATAGCTCCGCCCCAAACTCACACCATTGGCTGAGACAATGTGCCGGGCTGGTTTTGATGCGTAAACAAATTCAGAGCAATGATCTGATAACCGCAGAGTTCATTCTATTCAGGGAAATCAACTAACCAAATGACTTACCTTTGTACACTAACCTGGAGTAGGAGGAAATGTTTAAAAAAAAAAAAAAGTCACACCAATTTTAACCCCTTTCTGCATTGGTGACAAACCCGTTAAACGACCTTGTTTCTCTATCATTTAATTTAACTGTCAATCCTTCATTGAGACAAACAGGGGCAAAGGTTACAAATTTACAAACAACTATTTTCATCTCTCCAGCATGACTCTTCTTCTTAAGTTTGCAATCAAGAAATATAATCAAGTAGATTATCAAATAACTAATATTTCTACACTTAAATGATAACAAAAAAAAGATTAGGTTGCATTACATGCTTACATCAATAACAAAAATTACAAGTTTTAGATCACTCTTGTAATACCTAAGACACGACTATATAGTTAGACCCAAGACACCAGACACTTACCAGCTTCTCCAGCTATGACAGGATACACTGATGCCACAGCAACACTTTGTGTAGGAAATTAATAATGTTGACGTGGAGGGAAGGAGTGGCTTGGTGAATGCACGGAAGATATGCAGGGTGAAAACAGGTACGGCTGGATATTACAGCAATGTTGTGAAAGCAGTTAACCAGTTTAAAAGGATTAGCACAATTCTCACGTTAAAAAATAATAATAAAAAAATTAGCAGTAGCCCTGGTCTTATTTATAAGTGTGTTATTCCAACTGTAAGACTCTGTACTGAACCATAACATACATACCCTAAAAAACAATACCTGTGGAATTTAGTTTGTTAATGATTTGTTTATCTGAAATGTTAATATTTAACACAGCTGAAAGCCTAAAACACAACAATTTCTGAATCTACATGGATGAAGCAAAGACTGTTTAATGGTATAAATGGTATAAAATCACCCCTTCATATGCTCCGTCAGCTAAAAATGACTTAATGAGGTTTGGGCTGTCCATCCAGTCTGTGAGCACCACTGACAGTATCCTATCTGGCCATATTGTTGTAATTTTAACACGTGGGACCCTCCGAACCCGGAACGGTGTAGCCTCCATCACTTCCGTCCAAACAGAGACGTACAACTCAAAAATTGGCTCAAAATATTTGGCAGATTTTGAGGTGAATTTCAGCTTCATCATGCGTCGTTTGTTGTGCAGTGTACAGGGGGCAACAAGAAGCGATTAACCTCTCCCGACTGGCAATCGGACGGTCGGATGAATTTCTGAAGCTGCCTTCCACTGTCTCTGACATTTGGATACGATTTTCGCATTTCTCCCCCTTGTGGCAGTCGCACAGAACTTTCAAACTGGTCCTTAGGCTTATTCACCATGGTAAAATTAATGTATGAATATATCCAAGCTTCAACAAGTTTGGCTCCCCCTCTGGCCCCCCTAAATTTGGAATCGTATCACACCAAACAATTTTGGGTGCAATGTACAGTTTGTCCTGTGGGTGGCAGTAAAGGAAAAAAGCAATTCATTGTGCTATAGGAAATTACTCAAAGCGAGAATGCATGCAGAGGCTGGAGCTTCACATATTCATTAGAGCTACACCAAAAAAAAAAGAGATACAGGTAATGAAAATTAATTAATTTCAGTCATGTTCACGTAGTGAGAAATGAACAAGTAGGGATAACTGCGGGCTGGAGCAGTGGGTGTGGTAAAAGATTAGGGCGTGCCGAAAGGTAGGGGGCGTGGATAAAGGTCTTTCTAAATGGTTAGGGTTATGGGGTTAATTTCTGTTGTAGCATTCACCTTTTGGCACGCCACCTTTTGCACGCCCATTACTCTGACCTGCACCTGTCTCGAAATAAACTATCCAAGCATCCGCCGTTGCTTATATTATTATCACAGTACTATACAAAATTATTTGTCAAATAAATGAAACATGATGAAACATTTATTTGAGTTGAAATTGTTATAGCTTACTTCTAAAGATACATGACATGGTGAAAATGACTGAATGAAAAATACTGAAAGTAGGTTAAGATGAATTTTAAGTGGCCCCTGAATCCGTGTATCATTCGATTATTTGTTTTTTGATTTAATATTGAAAGCAGAAAAATTAGAAAACTGATTATTTTTCGTTTTTATGTTTTTTTCCAAAAAACGAAAAATGAGAATTCAGCTTAAATTTTCGTTTTTCGTTCATGGGTCGAAAAATGAATAAACAGTTTGAATATTTGATTTCTACATGTGGGCGGGAATTAAACGCCCCTTTCTGCTGACTGGTCAGCCGAAGATCAACCCGTGGCGTCATCAGTTCTTCTGCAGTATCACGCAGCAGAATAATAGTCCTCCACTGCTGCAGTTGTACAGATTAATAACCCATTTTATCAATTTCATATTTTTCTCAACAAACAGACTAAATGAATAGCTCGTCTAATGACAAAGTATTAAGTTCCCTCGATGGGGGAAAA